GGAGGCCACCTCTGGAATTATTGAGTTCAAAGACACATCACTGAGGCTGCAATACTATGATAGGTAAGTCACTGCTGCTGTAACTGCCTCTCAGCAGCCTGAAAATGAGGTAGTGGGCCCTGGAACATTGCTGCAGGGGGTAAAAATGTCTCTGTAATTGGGCTTACAAGCAAACAGCCAAAACAGCAGACAGATGGCTTCTACCTAACTTCTGTCTTCCAAATCATGAGCTGTTGGATCTAGTTGGAGAAACCTTAGTGACATGGGTAGCCCTAGCTGCAAGGGAGTCTGGGAAATATAGAGTTTAACTTTCCAGCTTCTCTAGTTCAGGAGAGCACCATATGGAAATTAGAAAGGGTGGTGATGAGTTCCAATTCACCAAAACCCCACAAGCCTCTGAGGTAAGCAGGGAAATTCACATCATTTCCACTTTTTAAAGATGGAAAACCTGAGTCTCAGGGAAGTTAAGTGATAGTCCCTATTGATTGGTTCTCAAAATTATTTGTGAAATGAGTGAGAATAAATGATTTGCCTGGAGTGCAAATGATTTGCCCAGTGTCCTTTAAGAACCAAATGAAAGGGACTTCTCTATGACACTTGACCTTACTCCCCAAGACAAGGTTAATGCTACTGCTTATGTACACACACACACACACACAACCTTGATACTTCCATCATGGTGCCTACTACAGTATATTTTAAGGATCAGTTACGTGTCTGTTTCCCTAAGTAGAATGAAATTCTCAAGGCCATGGATGGTGTCTTACTATTCTTACCACTGTGTTTATTCATTGTGCTTAGATCATAGGAGGTAAAATCAATAATTGGTTCATTGACTTAATAAGTGTAAAGCTATGGGCTTTTGACTCCAGTCCAGCGTTCTTTCCACCATGGCACTCTACTTCTAGCCAACTTTGCCCAAAACCCATTGGCTTGATTATTATTTACTCAGTCATGCAAGAATATTTATTAAGCAACTGAAATGCATCTGCGTTTGGCACAGGAGATGTAATAGAAGCAAAAAGAGACTCATTTTCAGCTCTCATGGAAATTATAGTCTAGCAGAGAAGACTGATATTAACCAACTGGTCACACAAATAAATGCAAAACTACAATTATGGTGATGGCATCACAAAAGGAGTTTACAAGAAAAAATACTTTTTCCTCAATTTACAACACTCCTGACACTAGATGTGTGGGGTTTTCCACACCAAGCTATTCTCCAATTCTCGGCTGGCACCAACTGGGTGTCCTATAATTTAACTCAATTCTTACACTAACTGCCCAGAATTAGCACAGACTCCACAGGTTAAAGGCTCAGTGCCACAACACTGCCCCCACTTCAGATGCCAATCACAAGTCCTAGGTTGTGATCTGTGCTTATGACCAACTGGCTATAAATCGGGGGTTCCTACAACCCCTGCCTCAGGTTCAATTATTTGTTAGAATGGCTCACAGGACCCAGGAAACAGTTTACTTACTCCTGCCAATTTATTATAAGAGATACAATTCAGGAACAGCCAAATGGAAGAAATGCATAAGGAAAGTATGTGGGAAGGGGCACAGAGTGCCCATGCCTTCTCTAGGTGTACCTCCCTCCCAGCACCTGCATTCACCACCCCAGAAGCTCTCCAAAACCCCCACTGTTTAGGGGTTTATAGAGGTTCCATTGTTTAGGCATGGCTGATTAAGTCATTGGCCACTGGTAATTGAACTCAACCTCCAGCCTCTCTTGAGGGAAGGGGCGGGGGGGAGGTAGTGAAAATTCCAATCCTCTAATCACATGGTTGGTTCCTCTGGCAACAGGCCCCCATCTTCCAAGAGTCACCTCATTAGCATAAACTCAAGGATAGTTGAAAGGGGCTTATAATAATTTTTTTTTAAATGCCCTCTTAACTCTATCACTCAGAAATTCCAAGGGTTTTAGGAGCCCTTACCAGGAACCTGGGACAAAGACCAAATATATATTTCTTATTATATCATAAAATCAAAAGTGCAGAGTGGTATGGGGGCACATAATAGAAGGCTTGGACTATACAAGAACATCAAGGAAGGTTTATGCAAAGCAGGGATGATAGCTGAGACCTGAACCATAGTAGGGGTTACACGTTGCAGAGAAGGTAGGGTAGTATATTCCATGATGATGAGAATAGTTGTGCAAAGGCCTTGTGATAGGAGAAACTGAAGCAACCCAAGAACAAGCACGGTACCAGCTGGGGCTGGAAAGGGACAAAGGAGTTAGACCCTGCAGTACTTATAGGGCAAATGAAGGATGTTTTTTTTTACTCAGGGGAGAGGGAGTGACTGACATGCTTACATGTGTGCTACAGAAAGCCTCAGTGCGAAGAATAAATTTTCACATACATTCATGCTTTCGACATCCCATGGCACCCCGCCCTAGGCAGGCCAGGGAAGGTGAGCAGTGCCACCTTCAAGAGTAGCCCCATACTCTTATTCCATCTTCCTAAGATTGAATCATATTTTGAACACCATACAAATATATGCTATGCACACACACACACAAAAAAAAACCATGCCTTTCCAAAGAGCACTTTGGAGAGAAACAACTTGGTTATATCACTCACATACAGAGGCACAGAGAGATTTATACTGGCTTTTTGCATTTAATTTATTTTGCCAAAAGAAATTTAAAAGTCTTTGGGAATGGCGGTTTCCTTTGAACTAACATCAAACCACCAGACCTGCTAAGGAAGGTTCAGCCGAGCTTTGATATGCCTCAGCACACACATAGCATTGCTTCTGCTTTGGACATGCAAAGGGAAGGAAAAAATACCACTGTGCATAGCAAATCACTCCTTATTAAAAATAATTAGTGGAGATAGTGCATAAGTCACTTTTAAACCCCTCGTTTTCATTAATTATCCTCTTAAATACGTACCAAGACCAAATCACTAACACTGCTTTGGATGTTTTGGAAAATATCTTTCACTTTATCCAGCTAGAGCTTAAACAAGAAACTGGACTCAGGCCAAACAAAAGAATATTTACACTGACTTTTTTTCCTTGTTTTTAAATCACACACCCTTTCACTCTTAAATTTTGTCGTGTTTTAGCTGATAATTAAATGGATTCCTTCCCTCCAAATTATAATTTCTTTAGATGGCATGGATTAGATCCGCAACCACCATTAAATTCTTATGGGATTTTTTAACTTTTCTGGTGATGAAGTAGAAATTTTACACAAAGCAGGAGAATGTAGGATAGTTTTTTTTCTTAATTATCTTAACCTTGACTTTACATAAACTCAAAATCAATAACAATAAAATCCATTTCATGTTCATGATCATTCTAACCTGGCTCTGCAACTTCCCAACCACACGACCTTGACAAATCACTAAACCCATTTGAGGTTTAGTTTGCTTACCTTTCAAATAGGATAATAAGCTAAGGTTTGAGTCCAGTTTCAAAGCAAAAAAGTGAGGCTATGAGACCTGTATTTCTGAGGAATGCTGAAAATGCTCTGACTTTTCCAGAACCTTGGTACATTAGCCACACTCACTCTCTAGCACACTGGATTCCCACTGCACTGAAAAAGGAGCCATGCTTTTCATTGCTTTGGTGCTTCTGCACATGCTTATACCCCTCTGCCTGAAATTCCCCAACTTCCATATCTCAAGTTGATCACTCCCTACTCTGTGTTTTCATGATCTTCCCATGGCTTATCTCACCATATTATAATTATTTATTTATGTCACTGGCTCTCTCAGCTAAGCAGTTTGCTCCTTAGGGCAAGAAGAATGTCTTATTCATCTCTATATCCTTAGCCACCATCAGATTTCCTGGCATAAAATATTCATTCACTGAATAAATGAATGCACATTTATATGTAATAAGTCTAGTTGAAACATGTAAATTACAGGGAGACTAGAATTATAATATGATGTATCAAGTTTACTAACTACTGGTTTATCTCCATTCAGACATCATAAGCAATTCTCCTTAATGGTAGAAACTGCAAGGGTGACATCTGCCTTTAACCAAATCCACTCTGTCTAAACACAGAGACAAAGAGGGGCACCTGGGTGGCTCAGTCAGTTAAGCGTCTGCCTTTGGCTCAGGTCATGATCCCAGAGTCTTGGGATCGAGCCCCGCATCGGGCTCCCTGTTCAGCAGGAAGCCTGCTTCTCCCTCTCCCACTCCCCCTGCTTGTGGTCCCTCTATCGCTGCTTCTCTCTGTGTCAAAAAATAAATAAAATCTTTTAAAAAAAGAAAAAGATAGAGATAAAGATTTGCCTCTTATTCTTTCTTGCCCTTTATTTCCATCCCAAGAATAATCACAATTTATACCAATCTCCTCTTGTTGCTGGTCTTTCCCCACTGCAAGTTCTCAATGGCAGGGATTTTGTCTGTCTTGCTCATTGCAGAAGCAAAGCTCATAACACACAGTAGGTACTCAAAAAAATTTGTTCAGGAAGTGAAACCAGCAAGTACAGAACAAACTGTTTTATAGAATCTCTGCATTCCATCAGCTACTTGTATTACATTTTCAACATGATTAAGGCAAGTCATCATTCCAGCTTTGTTGGAGTCTAAAGGGGACCCAAAAAAACAGCACTCTTCTCCCCTTCCTGAACAGGTTGAGAATTGAAACAAAAAAGTTGGTAGAGAATCAAAATTTTACTTTCATTAACAATCAACCTAAAATCAAAGAACTTGGCAAGTGAGTTGGTCCATGGTACTAAACCTCAGAATCCTATAAAGTCAACCCCTAATCCCTAGGCAGTCTCTGCTTGGAGGTGGAGCAGCTTCTCTTAAAAAAAAAAAAAAAAAAAAAAGGCACATGCTGTAACATGGATGAAACCTGAGGACATTATGCTCAGGAAACAAGCCAGTTACAGAAAGACAAATACTGTATGATTCCACTTATATTAGGTACCTAGAATCGTCAAAAATGTAGAGACAGAAAGTAGAATTAAGGTTGCCAGAGGCTGGGGAGAAGAGTGAATAGGGAGTTATTATTAAAAGGGATGGAGGGGCACCTGGGTGGCTCAGTCAGTTAAGCATCTGCCTTCGGCTCAGGTCATGATCCTGGGGTCCTGAGATCGAGTCCCACATCGGGCTCCCTGCTCCGTGGGAAGCCTGCTTCTTCCTCTCCCTCTGCTCCTCCTCTCTGCTCGTGATGTCCCTCTCTCTCTCTCTCTGTCAAATAAATAAATAAAATCTTAAAAAAATAAATAAAAGTGATGGAGTTTAAGTTTTACAAGGTGAAAAGACTCTGGAAATGGATGGTGATGATAGTTACAGCATCATGAACGTATTTAATATCCCTGAACTGTACTCTTAAAAACAACTAAGATGGTAAATCTTATGTTGCATGTATTTTACCACAATTTTTAAAATGGGGGAAAAAGTGACACAGTTTCCCAATGGACTACTCATCGCCAAGAGCAAGTCTGGAAGGGTTTGGGTCCCAAATGACAGCTTCTTTGTCCACACTCACTGATGAAAGACAGCACTCCACCTCCCTCAGGCAGAAGGAAGGAGGAAATGGAGAGGTCAGTAAACTAATGTGGTTCCCAGGCCCTCCTGTGGCGGAAAAACCTCTCCCATACCCAACTAGCCTACACTCCAAATACACCTATTGTCAGATGCTCTCTATAAAAATTCTGAATATGGCCACATGCATTAATAATGTCCACCAGGTCTATGTTAATGATTAGAAGAGATAGCAGATAACATTACTCCCGTCAATGAAATAACCAGCCGCCCAGGCAACCTAGTTAATTTCATCATTTTCCATCAGTTTGGGGACACACAATAGTACCGGCAGGTAACATAACTTAGGAAAAATAGTAATAATAATACTTTCTAGGGGCGCCTGGGTGGTGCAGTCGGTTAAGTGCCCGACTCTTGGTTTTGGCTCGGGTCGTGATCTCAGGGTCCTGAGACCAAGCCCCACGTCAGGCCCCATGCTCAGCGCAGAGTCTGCTTGAGTTTCTCTCTCCCTCTCCCTCTGCTCTTACCCCACCCCCCAAACAAATAAATACATCTTTTTTAGAAATAATAATACTTTTTATCACCATTAATGGGTCCAGCTTTGATCACATGACTTACCCTACAACCTCCCAGCCAGTTTGCACCCTGATTTGGCCGGTAGCACTCCCAGCCACTGAGTTGCCAATGAAGGTTAGAACCTTGCCTTTGTCAGTAGAAGCTACATAGGATGTTCTTGAATATTCAAAATCCTTTCTATTGAAATCATTCTTTTCCTAGATGGTCAACGGGCCTAAAGAATTCTCTGGAAGCAGTGGTCTCTGGCTGGCAAAGCCAGATAATGTAAGGCAGGTGAAGAACAAGGAAGAGACCCTTAACTTCATCAAAAATACTTCTTCAGGATGCCAAAAAGGAGAAACTCTGAAAGGCATTTTCCCAGACCTCTCAGAACAGATCTTCTGTGGAAGGGTTAAGGAGAATTTATCATTTCGCCAAAACAAGAGAGAAAAATCCAAATATAAATGTTTGAAGATCTGGTCTTTTCAGGTGCCTGCCTTTTGAGCTCAAAGAGGGAAAAGCTAAGGGTTGGAGCAGGGGGAAAGCCCTTAAAACTACTAAGTAATTTCTTTTTTCTGCTTTGCTTTTCCCCTGTGTAGAGCAAACTCTTATGTTACATCCCAGCCTGGAATAAATCTTCTGGGCTGAATGATAAATCAGGGATTGTAATGGAAATCACTATTGACCTTTAAAAGGGCACTGTCTTTATATTTTCACACTGGGCTGTTTGAAATGTCGACTTGGAATCAGGAAAAATAATATGCCATCGATTTCTCTCCATACCTCTTACAACAGAGCTTGAAATTGACCTGGAAAGCATAGGTATGGGTTTTCTCATTATGGTTTCAACATCATCGGAAATGGTGATTAATGATTCAGTCCTGGGAACAGCATTGTTAGACCTTGTAATTACTTTGTGAATTGTGTCCAAACACAACTAGCGTACCCTGCCTGTACCACCCCCAAGAAGTGGGTGCATTTTAACCCTTTTGCGTGCAGTAAAACTCCGTGGTTCTTGATTACAAAATTATACAAGATGGAGATATTATTTCCTCATGTTATTGTTTATCTTGTTTACTGTCTTCCCCTTGTCTGATTATTCCTTTTTTTATTTCTCCTCCCATTTCCTGATGTACCAGGCCTCTCTGGCAATTGGTTAGGTCTAGTTTTTCATTCTTCATTCTTTGCATTTCTAATTTCCCTCTTTATTTTTCCTCCAATTTCATAATCTCTCTAGTTTACTGGTCTTTTTCATTGCTCCTGTTTTTTGTTTTTTTTTTTTCTGGCTGCTTTATCCATTCTAAATCTCATTTACTCTAGAAGGACTTTTTAAAACCATCTAGATTCTCTGAGCCTTGCCAATTTTGACACAGAGTATGGAATGTCTTCCCCCACCTGCCTTAATTTTCATATGCCCTGGCCCATGCAGGATGGCTGAACTGCTCACAGCTGCTCCTTGCAGCCAGGTCTCCCAGCAAACCACCATAAAGAGATGTCTGTAGACTTTCATTTAAGCATGGAAGCTGGTGAGCATGACCTATCTTCATTTTTAAAGTAGCTAAATAGAAATGATTAACATTTTTCTGTTAAAAAAATTTTTTTAATAACTTTTAGTTGATGTGGCTCAGCTGAGATGCTCTGAGGGATCTGTTGTAGTCACTCTGCAGAAGCAAGAGGAACCCCACTCAAAATTTCATTTGGATGTCAAGACTGAAGATGCCACACATACCAAAAGACTAAGGAAAGGTTTATTATTTACATAATTGAGGCTTTTCTGGGGAGGGTTGGGCAGGACTCCCAACCAGGTCCAAAACAGCTTGAGAACACAAGGAAAGGAGGCTTGGTTGGGTTAGGTGTTGTGGACAGGGCCAGAGTCTCCCGCCAGCACCAAGGGAGAGAGCATCCTGGCTTTCCCCCAAATGGGCAGAGAAGGAGAGGAAAAGATGAAGCTTAAAAGCTGTCAACAGTTGACATCGGAAAATGGAGTCCGGTCTCTCCCCTCCAGGGCTCCGAGGAACAGGGGTACAGACAGAGGAGGGTGAGGGGGGCCTGCGGAGACGTCTTCTCCCCCACCCCACAGGGTCCTGGCCTCTGGGAGAGGGGAGGGGCCTCCCTTATCTCCAGGGCTCCATGGACTCTTTGTAAGATCTTTGACCAAGACAACTAAAAGCAAGCTGGCAGTCCCAGACTAAACCACAGCTGGAGAAACCCAGGGAAAGAGAGAGACTGAGATCTACAGAGAATCTCTGGGGCTTGGAAAAAAGTGTCAGCCACTCACAGTGAGCTCATTCACGCCATCTCTTTGGGCAAAGGACACACGGGAACCTAAAGTTTTATCCAAGTTATAAATCCAAGAAGAAATGCTCAGCTTATTTAGATGAAGTACTTGGCCACACACAGAAGTGATTTGAACTTCACAAAAAGTGTTCCCTTGTCCAAAACATCTGTCTCGTGGATGCCCTAGAGTCAGACATACATCAGCCCTCCTTTAAATTCAGGGGTCACATTCCCATAACGTTTAGAATAGCACTAGAGAAAAGAGCATCTTTCATGGACCTGGATTCAAGGCCCCCTTTTGCCACTTTGGTGACCTTGAGAAATAAACTCATTTCTGAGCCCCAGGTTCTGCTTTTGTACAATGGGGATAATAATATCTACTCCATTTCATCAATTCTAAAATGTACTTTTTCCTTGCATTTTAGCATCTCTGAAAACTGGATACAATCAGGGGCTCTTACAAATTTTAACTGGCAGCTTTTTTTCTTCATGGCACATAAAATAATGGTTCATCTTATGGTCAATTATCTTAAATTAATAAAACACAGTTCTTCACAGGGCTTAGAAAAGATGAATGTAAAAACACATTATTCATTATAAGCTCTATATAAGTGGGTTTTTTTTAAGATTGTATTTATTTATTTGAGAGAGAGAGAGCATGAGCAGGGGGAATGGGAGAAGAAGAGGTGGAGAGGGAGAAGGAGAAGCAGACTTCCCACTGAGCAGGGAGCCCGATGTTGGCCTCAATCCCAGGACCCTGGGATTATGACCTGATCTGAAGGTGGATGCTTAACCGACTGAGCCACCCAGGTGCCCCTATATAAGTGTTTTATATGCCTCTTTGAGCCTCAGTTTTCTTATCTGTAAAATGGAGATAATGGTACCAACCATGTGGAGTTGTTGTAAGGGTCAAGTACGTTAATACACATAAAGTGTCCAAAACTGTGTATGGCTCAGGGCAGGAATCTTAGTATTATTCTAATTCCAAGACCTCTGATTCATTTGAAGACAAGATGGTTATTGATTTATTCCCTAAACATTGAATGTTCTGCAGGTGCCAACAGGGTTCTCAAATCAGACTCCATGGTTCTGAATCCTGACTTTGCCACTTACTAACTCTGGGAAATTTCCATATTTTCATTCAGTCCCCTCTTTAGTATCCCTGAAATAAGAATAACAGAACCTGCTTCAGAAAGTATGGGTGGGCCTTAAATAGGTTGATCCATGAAGAGAGCCTAGCACAGTGCCTGGCAAGTGCAAGTCCTCAATAAATGCTAGTTATCATCTTTAGTAAGTAATTCTGCTTTGAAGAAGCATCTGATCTAGCTACAGAGATGGCCCTGAGAGAGAGAGAGAGTTACAATACGACAAGTTAAGGATGGCCCCTCTTCATGCACTATCCTTGTGTAAGTCCTGTCAATGTCTTCTGGTCCAAGACCACCCATGAACATACCTGAGGCATTGCTCCCTGCTATGGGGACATCTCATACCATGAAGAACCATGAAAAAAGTCTCAGAAATAGGGTATCAGGAAAGGCTTGCTCTAGGAGTTGGGCCTGTTCCCTGAGGAGCTGTCAGAGAGTAGGGAGATTTAGTGATTATCTTAATTTTTATCTATTGGACAAGAAGAAAGAAGCAAGGCTAGAGGAGTTACTGAAGGAGAAACAGTAGTCACTCCTATTAGCCAGGAGAGGGGGTTGTTTGGTCATTTTTGCGGTTGCACGGTGTCTGTTTCTATTCTCATTCAGGCGTAATTATGGACACGTCTTCTTTTTGTCTTATTCCATCACATCCGTGGAAGTCCTCATCTGATGTTGATATTCTCTGAAAATACTTACGTTCACCAAAGGAACGATATGACACAGCTACTA